TCGGGGCACCCAGGAGTCTAAGTAGGCCTAACGTCCTAGCTAGGATGATATCAGTAATCATTTCGACATACAATATTTAAGGTCTACATTATTTCACAAACAGACGGTAAAAGATTACCCTTTTCACTCTTTTCCCTCGTTTCCTGAAAATATTACCCAACCCAGAAATAAGTGCAGCCATGATTTTTCAGCATGCTCGTATATAAAGCCTTGCCCCAAGCCCTAGTGTCCTATCACTCCATAGTCGTCCCCATGTGATATGCAATTTTAATTATTTTGAAGCCCCACCCTGGCTTGTGCCGGGATCGCCAAATATAGCGGTTGGCCTTAAATATTGCCTAACGGCTGAAGGGGGTTTCTGGACCTCTGCACGAGTGATCCTCAATCCACATGGTGACACTTGTGTCACTAGGAGTTTATTGCTTGTGTGAGGTCCCGGTGGGGTACAACATACCTACCTAAATAAGTCAGATTAGTTCAGTTCGCCTTCATACAGGGAGGCAGGGTTTCATAGCAGCGACTAAAATAATTGTATCAAACACACACTGGTTTGGCTTGCATTATTGAAGTGATCCAGGGCGGCGTTCATTACCATAAATGTTTTACCAAGGAATTTCATACCCAGAATCTATACATACGGCTGCATAGAAATGATTGCAGCTTGTGCAGGACAACAGAGAATTGTTGAAATTGTAATTGTGAAGGATTATTAGTATGTTCATAATGTTTCATGACAAATTAGATGTAAATATGAAGTCATTGTACTTGGAGGAACATCAAGCCAAACGTTTATAACGCTGGACTCCCATACAGGAGTCAGGATTTAAATTCCTTGGTAAAGTTATAAGATTTAATTCGGTGTGTGTGTGTGCTTGTGTGTGTGTGAGTGTGTGTGTCAGGGGTTGGGGGGGGGGGGGGTGGGGGTTGATTTCTGAGTAGATTGTGATGACTGCAATATCCATCTACTCTAAATGATCAGGTTAAAATCCCGCACCCCAATCCCAAACCCTCATTGTTCTTGTTGTTGTTGTGCTCCCCCCTCTCCCCCCCCCCCCCCCTCAGTTTTACTACACAGCACTAAAATTAGTATATTAAGGATAGTAAAAGACAGTTACATAAGAAGCCAACATATCGTAAATATTTCAGACGTTCATTAATCTTTCAGAATTTAAATCAACAATAAGACTCCAGACTGATTTGTGTGTGTGTGTGTTTCAGGGAAACCCGTACCTCACAACATGGAGTTCGTCAAAGAGATCAGATCAATGCTCACTCAGTATAAGTTGGTAAATACGTATATGGCTTTTTGAGACTGTGTCTGTCCTGTGATACATTCTTTGATACGTCATGTGATAGGTCCTGTGATACGTACTGTGAAACGTCATGTGATGTGCACTGCAATGTGTCCTGTGATATGTTATGTAATACATTCTGTGATATGTTTTTTGATACATACTGTGATACGTCCTTTGATACGTTCTTTTTAAACATCCTGTGATACGTCCTGTGATACATCTTGTGAAATGTTCTTTCGTATGTCGTGTGATACGTCCTTCCTGGAATGCGTCCTGTGATGCGTCATGTGAAACGTCCTGTGATGCGTCCTGATAAATAAAAAACAACTACATCCTATAGAAGAAATAAGCAAGGAGTGTCTGCCATTAACGACCGTTTAATCAGTTTCACTTCTCATAGTGATTGTTTATTAATAATTATGTCTTCAATGTTACAATAATGGAATTAATTCGGATTTCGCGTTAAATCTATGAGCAAAACAGAATGGAATTATAATTCTGGTGAAGGTAAAGAAGTAGTCCCTTAGTCGATCCTGTGTTTAGCATATAGGGCACGACCTTTAAAGTAGGATAATCAGTTCTCTTTCTCTTCAATTCCCCCCCCCCCAACCCCTTCCCCCTTTTTTTAACAGTTTCAAGAGAATTCCGGACAGGAGAAACCAACGTGAGAGGATTCTTTACGTATTTTTGTTATGGCACATGTAGTGTCAGTACATGTACTGATAAATTTTGTGTGTCGACGAGGATAATTTCTACTGATGACTGGTAGATCTCCGCTGTACTTGCTCCCTGTGAGTTTATTCCTATTGTACGTGGCTAGCCCACAAGACTACCAGGAAAGACTGGTGACTATCGGGAAAGACCTTTTGACACCTATGGAAAGACTCTGGTGACTATCGGGAAAGACCTTTTGACACCTATGGAAAGACTGGCCCCCCGGTATCGCCGGGGGGATAAACTGACATCTGGAAACAGATATCGACTGTGGACCGGGTTGATCACCCCTAACACAGTATAATACCTCCGATTTCGTACGACCACAATGAAATATGCCCCCAGGGCCCTCCGAAAGGGGGGGGGGGGGGAATGAAGGGCCCAATCCAACTGATACCTTCGGTGACGACCTTGCTAGCCCCCGGACTGAGATACTCGCCCAACGTCCGGGCTGGCTCTGTACATGTGGGAAAAGCTTCACGGGGTTGCATGGTCTGAGAACGCATGCCGGAAGAATGAAATGCGAGGGTGCTCCACGCAGTAAAACGCCGTCGCAAAAACTACCACTCCTGTGGTAGTTTCTGAGTCGTCAGGGTACGACGGGCAGGGTGAACCCCACTCGCCCGGAGAGGCCCATGACGTCGATTGCGGAGGAGCACCTTTGATGATTTCTGAAGAAGTGCGTTCCAGAATCAGGTTTCCACCTGCGAGCGAGAAGGTGGTGTGGTGTAAGTTGGAGGTTACATTATGTGAGATACTTAAACAAACTCTAAACAAGAAGCCGCTAGGCGACAAGCTTACTAAATTTGGTGATGCAATATATGAACACTGCTCCCGCGAGTTCGGGACAGTAGTAAAGGCACAGCCGGGTGCCAAGCAGAATACTAGCAGGAGGCAGAGGGACATTCTGAAGTGTCGGGCAGACAAGAATGCCCTCAGAAAACGGTTCAAAGCCGCTACAGGCAGCGAACGGGAGGGGCTGTATGAAGTTTGGTTGCATTTAAAGAACAAACACAGTGCCCTCTGTCGTGCCGAACGTTTCTGTAACAACAGACGTAGAACCAAAAGGGAGCGAGAGAAATTCTTTAGGGACCCGTATCAGTTTGCCCGAGGTCTATTCGAGCAACCGAAGTCTGGGACTCTGGTTGTCAGTCAGGAAGAACTAGAGCTACATCTACGCAAGATGTACTCGGATAAAAAAGAGGAGAGAGCCTCTCGATGACAATCCAGAGATCCTTAGCGGTCTTAAACAGCCTTCGGTGCCGAAGGTACCATTTAAAATGGTACCTCCCCTTTGGTCTGAGGTTGTGGACGTTGTGAAAAAAGCCAGCGGCAAGTCTGCCCCAGGTCCGAACGGTGTTCCGTACGTTTTTTACAAGCGTTGCCCGAAAATCCTAAAAATGCTTCACGTCTTGTTGAGACAAGCGTGGATCCGCAATAACATATGTCCAGAGTGGTCAAAGGCAAATGGGGTCTACATTCCCAAAGAGCAGGACTCGAAGAGTCTTTCCCAATTCAGGCCCATCTCGCTGTTGAATGTCGAGGGTAAGATATTCTTCTCGGTCATGGCTCGCCGGCTCACACAGTATCTGATGACTAACAAGTACATAGATACGAGTGTTCAGAATGGTGGTATTCCAGGCGTTCCTGGGTGCCTTGAACACGCGACCATGATTTGGGAGGCTATCCAGAGAGCCAAGCATGAGAGAACCGATTTGCACGTTATATGGTTGGACTTAGCCAACGCCTACGGGGCAGTCCCCCATAGGCTACTGTGGCGAGCCCTTCGCATGTTTCACGTACCGACACAGATCAGTCAAATGATCGAGCAATATTTCTCCAAGTTCGCTTTGCGCTTCTCTACCTTGACGTTTACCACGAGGTGGACTGAGTTGCAGATTGGGATAGCTATGGGCTGTACGATCTCACCTATACTGTTTGTCATGGCAATGCAGATCATGTTAGACGGGGCGGCCGGCTACGGACTGGGCCTTCAAATAGGGGATCACTGGCTGCCGCCACTACGCGCATTTATGGATGACACGACTATAATAACGGGCAGCGAGGAGTCTGCCCGCACGATCCTGAAAAGATTGGACGCGGTGGTCCAATGGAGCGGTATGCAGTTCAAACCGCAGAAGTCGAGGAGTCTGTCAATCCATAAGGGCAAGGTGTCGGCAATCAGTTTTACGGTGGCAGGGAACAAGATTCCCACGGTTCTGGAGGAACCGGTGAAGAGCCTCGGTCGCGTGTACGATTCGAAGTTATCTGACAGAGCTAAGGTCCTGCGAATACACGAGTCACTGGCTACAGGCCTGCTCGCGATCGAGCGATGCAGGCTGATCGGAAAATTCAAGGTATGGTGTCTCCAATTCATGTTGATTCCAAAGCTCCTATGGCCACTGCTAGTCTACGAGGTGACGATGACTGCAGTGGAAACCATGGAAAAGAAAATCAACACAGCCTTAAGAAAGTGGATTGGTGCACCGCCTTGTCTGACCGACGTGGCTCTGTATTGTAAGCAGGCTAAGCTGGTACTTCCGTTCAAGTCGATAACCGAAGAGTTTAAAGTCGGCAAGGTAAGACTCGCCATGCTTCTGCGCGAGTCTTCAGACCCAAATGTCATCGCTGTCCAGCCCGCTCTAAAGACTGTACCTAATGGAGGGTCCTCGATGCGATAGAATCTGCCCAGAATGCACTAAAGTTGAAGGAGATAATGGGTTACACACAAACCGACCGTCGAGGCCTAGGCCACGGGAAGGTCAATTGGTGGTCGAAGGCCTCTGCCAAGGAACGCCGAGACATGGTAATACAAACGGTGAGGGACAACGAAAACGAGGTTCGGGTCCAGAAAGCAGCCCAACAGTCGCAGCAGGGCCATTGGGTCAGCCTGGAGAGCGCATTGCCAAGAGTACTCACATGGGGTGAGATCTGGCGGATGACCTCGCTGCGACTGAGCTTTATCGTTCGTTCGGCGTACGATGTATTACCGTCCGGTGTTAATATGGTTAAGTGGTCTGCGACCAACGATCCGACTTGCCCGTTGTGCAAATCGAAGCAAACTCTTGAGCACGTCCTGTCCGCGTGCAGGAAAGCTCTAGGTCAAGGCCGATATACCTGGCGCCACAACAAGGTGCTAAAGGAGTTAGCAACCGTTGTCGACCAGGCTAGAATGAGGGCTAACGCCAGAGCCAGTTCTAGTATCGCCCCCATTCGTTTCCTCAAGGCTGGGCAGGTTCCAATTGGTAAGGTCAACAAAAACGCATTCGCTCCATCTGTGCTAGACTCTGCGAGGGACTGGTTACTGGCGGTTGATCTGCCAGGCCATGAACGGTATCCCGAGTTGATCCGTAAAACCGGCCTGCGACCGGACATCGTTCTCCATTCTACGCAAAAACGGCAACTCATCCTGATTGAGTTGACGGTCCCGTTTGAGTCGCGTATGGAGGAGAATCATTTGTACAAGCTCGAGAAGTACAGTGATTTAGCAGCCGGTTTGAGGAGAAACGAGGCTTACACAGTACGGGTATTTGCCGTCGAAGTGGGAGCGAGAGGCCTCGTTTCCACTTCGCTCTACAATGTGGTGAAAGAACTAGGATTGCGCGGTAATGAACGGAAACGAGCACTCAAAAAACTGGGAGAGGCAGCCGAAAGGGCCTCTAGCTGGCTTTGGACGCAGCGCAACAACGTAGGGGACGGGCCTCGGTGAGCTGGTCCGGGTGTCTAGTAGAGAAGAGCTTCTCATCCCTTTGAAAGTCCATCGTGTCCGAATTGTCTGCCAGTGTCCCTCTGCCAACTGCTAATAAAAGTCCAACATGTGTCCGGTAAACCAAAGTAAGCTTGTCGCTCGGTCGTCCAGGCATGCTGACTGTTTTAATTAGGCTGCCGTGGCGGCTTCTTATCTCACAGTACCTCCTTCGAAACCACCAAGTCGTCTTGTCTCTGGCCGAAAGTAAAACACCATCTGGTAATTCCGTGCAGCGGGGAACCAGCCCTGAGCGTCATGAACTCAGGAGGGCCCACCTCCGAATACGTCTAGGAATCGTGGGCCGAAACGTGTGTCGACGAGGATAATTTCTACTGATGACTGGTAGATCTCCGCTGTACTTGCTCCCTGTGAGTTTATTCCTATTGTTGTAGATCACAGTATGTGGGAAAGCGTGGTTCTCAAAGTAGATCGGCAAAGCATTTCCTCACTGCTGTTTACAATTAGTTCTAAGTAATGTTTGTATTTGTGGTTTTTATCATTTATAACAACAATGAAAAGAAACTAATTGCATTATGTTTTAAAAAAATTGATAGTTGATGTTAGCGTCGGGTACCAGGAGACTCCCAGGATACATTTTAGACTGGACAGACCTGAAGACAATGTTCAGTTAGTAAACTGAGCCAAGAACTTGGGATCAACAGACAAGAGTGTAGCAGTTGCCCTACCTTGCCAGTTACTCCTGACTGCCTGTATACATATGTTTTATGATACCATAATATTTCAGAAAGAAGCATTCATCTTCCGAGAGACCATAGAAGGACACGTTTCTGAAGCTTTTCTGTCTAGAATCACTGACGGAAGCTTGGATGACATCATCCCATGGGTTCAGCACACCACATCTACAGCAAACTCCAGAGTGTCCTTTATTGTAAGTTTCATTCCTTGTGTTGGTTCTGGGGCCTCAGTATTGGATGGTTATGAAAGTGGGGTGGGTTCAAATCCGCATCCAGACAAAGTTCCCTCTCTCATCCTCTCTCTCTGTTCGACCTATTCTAAAATGTATACGCTTTAATGTCTTGGCAGGCACAAGTGTCAGACATGATGAAGCTGATCACATCACACACAGAGTATCTACTGGTCTGTAGAAATACAAGTCTGCTATCTTATACCCGAGGCTCTAAAAGGGTACTTTATTTTCTGTACACAAGCTCTTATATAATTAAGGTCTGCATATGTGGCAGTAACTCATGCCATTAATATCTAATTATTCTGAATTTTTAAAACCATAAGCCTAATGGCAAAGACAGTCAAACAGTCTAAAATTGGTACCAGGAAATTTCCTAAAATTTACAACCACAAAACAACTCGAATAACATATTTAACTCACTTTTTAAAAAAAAAATGCCTCGCATAGTCAAATGAATAGATGAGCGCAAATTATTGGGGAATCTGATATAATATACAAGTTATATTACGACAAATACGAACATAGACGCCCTTCAATATAATAAACACATCATTACATAGCATCTGAGTAAAATGCATACATATAATGGTTTATGCTCTCTAAATGAGTTGAGTGGAGTTTTATAAATAATAAATATATATATATATATATATATATATATATATATATATATATATATATATATATATATATATATATATATATATATATAAACACAATAAGATACTGAATAATTTTGCGCCCATGTGCATTGTCATTCACAAACTCTGTGTGTGCATGCGTGTGTGCGCGCGCGCGAGCGAGCGCAACCAGACACATAAATAACAGAAGCGAAGTTAATAAAAGCATATAAAAATAATGTATCGCAATATTGTCAATGCTTCAAAAGGATTTACTATTTCTTTTTTTTTTTTTTTTTTTTAAAGATATGTTCCTAAAAAATTAGGACACAGCACTGTATTACTTACCTTAGTTTTCAAAATAAAATGTCATTTCGATTGACTATTTCACTACCAGTTGTTACTTTTACTCTTTTTGTTGTTGTTGTTGTTGTTGCAAAGAGGCGCTAAGTCAAAGCAGCCAATATTTAGTCCTAAGCAAAACATAATAATAGAATGTTAAATGTTGATTGTTGAATTCAGAATTGTTGAATTAAGAATCGACATCATAGCACTCAGGACACCCCCACAAGTGCTCCGTTTTCAACAGCTGACAAAGAGTTTCAATTCTGATGGCACCAATAACTGTCTGATTGTATATCTGTCTCACCCTTTCCCTGAGTGTTGAGCATCAGCCAGATCCCTTGGTAACTCCTCACAGCGCTATTCTTCTCAAACATAATGATATATGTGTACCTCCGCACCGTTCACCCACTCCCAGAGGGCACTCCCAACGTCTAATTTGTTACACATCAATACACCACCAAGTAGTGCAGAACCAGCCAGTCTGTCTGCCTGTTTTCCCAATTCATTTCCCAATACACTGACATGGAGAGAATATCCAAAATTTACGAAATACCCGGGACATCAGAAGTTATGCTTGCCACTCTGCACGGAGCATACGTGCTTAAACCTTTCTCAACATGCTCTGTGAGTCATGGACAATCACAGCATGTGGGTATAGCTGATTCTCAAGCCAGCAGAAGGCAGCATGACTGCCTCCAAGTCCACTCTCAAACTAGATGTTGGGACATCATATGCCAGGTGTTGTTGGACTAAGCAACGTCCAATCGCCTTTGCTATAAACGCCCACGCACTTCATCTGCCTCTCAACACAGCCATCTGTATATACAATCACATCACTTTGGTAGGAATTGTCATGAATAATTTGCTGAACTTCTGATTCTGCAGCCACAGCTGGTCAGTTCCTGCACTCACGACCCAAAGTGATAAGAACCTTGCACAAGTCTTTAACTTGCTCGGACAATTTGCAAAACCTGCAAAAATGTCTGATTATGTTTTCAGCATGTGCCACAAAGAGCTTCCCCTTTTCAGCTGTGACCCTTAGATCTACCCAGGGCTTCAGTAAGAGGTGCTTCTTGTTTACAGCTACTCAGATATATGACTTTGCTTGCAAAACTTTGAGCCTATTTGCAATAGTAGGCAGTGCAAGCATACATTGCACACATACTACTAGAATATCTCTTGTACATCCCATAATTACCCACATGGTTTCATTCTTTATGCGTTCAAGTTTTATCAGCTGATTATTTGATATGGTAAGCATTAAAGTCCTAAATCTATCACTGACAGGATCACATGCTGGAAAATTGTGAACAACATTCTTTGTTCCCTGTCCATTGCTGCCATAATCTTGAGATAATTGAGTCGGTTATGGCATTTTACAACTGCCTAAACCTGATCTCTATAGGACAGGCTTCTATTGAACGTGATACACATGTACTACAGTTTTCTCTCTCTTTTGATGTTATTGTTATTAACTGTAGGTTTGGAACATTAGCTCTTACAATTCTATTGTCGAGAGAACACCACAAAATAGCTGCCTTTTCTGAGTTTATGACAGCACCCATTTTTGCACACCAGTCAATCACTTTGTCTACAGTTGCCTGCAGCTCTTGGGCTATACGTTGCTTATTACTACCCAGCCTATATGCAAGAATATAAACAGCAAATGTCAAGATTATTCCAACACCTGGTGCTTTAAGTTCTGCAATCTTGCTTGTATACACATGGAAGAGCACTAATGAAATTGTAGAACCCTTAGGTAGTCCCTGGGCCATATTACAGGGTTCTGAGGTCCATGTACCCAGGCGAAGGGCAGCCATATGTGAATGCAGGACACCTGCTATCAAGTTCGCAAGCCAGAGACAAACTCCCTTCTCCATGAATGCAGATAGCAAAATATCATACTTGACTCTATTGTAGGCATCCTCAAGATGTAGTGCTGCCACAACAGTGTCCTGTCTTTTCTTGAAGCCTGCATAAACATCAAAAGCAAAAGTAGCTGCATTTGACCAGGTATCTTTTCTATCAGGTAACCACCTAAACCTTTCGGCAGAAGCTCTTTCTTTCCCAAAAACATTTGTAGTTTAACAGCAATATTCTTCTGAAGCACCTTGCCAAAAGTATTTTGTATGGTGATAATCTTGAAGTCGCTAAGTCTTGAATGATCTTTGTCTGGTTTTGAAAGAGGGATCAGGTAACTGCACCCAATTCTTGGGTACTGAAGCTGTACTGATGCTCTGGTTGAAATGAAAAACCATCTCCCTCAAGTAACAACAACATCAACAACAACATAATAATAATAATAACAATAATATAGGAGAGAAGGATCTAGGCTAAAAATTTTAATATAATGAGTTGAGGGTTGCTGTAGAAAAGAGCCTGACATACTGCCTTTAGATTATTCATTGAAAGTATTGCGATAATCAGACATCAGGTATACACATGTTGAATATTATCTTGCAGGATTGTTTCATTCCATCATCGTGTGGATTTTGTCTGCTGGACCAGACAATAGAAAGAAGTTTAGGCAACTGTCTTCAGAACTACTTGGAAATACTTCTTCACATAGCCATTGTTCTGAAAAAGCTGCATGACAAGGGAGTTGTTTTGGGTCACATGTGTGCCTCCACGTTCTTTATGGAGAAGCATCATCAGAAGCCTAAGGTACGTATTTACAGTGTACATTAGAATATAAATGGTAATTAATCAAACACAAATATTTTCTTTTTATCTTAATTTTTATAAATACAGAGATTTCTTAGGTCGTTTTCAGCCACTTATAAGTTATGAAAAAGAATCAGATTACATATATGTGGGAAATTATGTGTAAGCTGCAGAGACGTGATTTTTATACAAGAATCAAAAGAACACGACGGGCAGATATAAAATGCACTGAAAATCTTGAAAAAAAAATTAAATGACAAAAGGAATTAAATGCCCAGAAAGGAGAACAGTAATTCAAATTCAACATTTAGTTATTTATTTATTTAAAAGAGTTTCCCTTTTTAATTTGCATTCTATAGGATTAACATCTCAGATGAGAATCAGACAGCTACAAATCTCGGAAACTTCTTCAACCGAATAGCCATATCGTATTGAATATAGAATCAAGAATCGACATCACAGCACTCAAGACACTCCCATAAGTACTCCATCCCTAACTTCAGCAGCAAGCAAAGATTTCAAATTCCGATGGTACCAGTAACTGTCTGATTGTATATTCGTCTCGCCCTTTCTTTGAGCGTCAGGCTTTTTAAAAAAAATGTAATTAAAAAAAGCAGATCGTGTGGTCGGGAAATAAAAGAGTACCTCATGACAACAGGTAAACTAGAAGGAAAGAATGGGAGAAAGAGATCAAGTGTTTGACGCCATGGCATATGGAAACTTCTGGTTAAAATACACCAGACAGGAGGCTGACAAAAGTGGAGAATATTAAGGTAATGCAGGATTACAATATAAAAAATATCGGCCGCCAGCTAAATGTCTATTCCGTATGAGAGAGTCTGTTTAGTGAAACAAAGGACGATCATATTCCCTGCTGTGCCTTGCTATCTGGTCAGTCATTTTTACTTTGGCACTGAGGTCTGCATAGTGTTGTCTAATAATGATTTTGGTTAGCATTCAATACATGCTCGCTTTTAAAAACTCACAGACTTAACAGCAACAGAAATTAAACTAAATACAAATGAACCAATCTAGAGTCTTCATCACTGCACTCAGGAATTTTTCATACAAGGTTCGTCTCCTACACCAGTAGCAAATGAAGAGTTCCGCTACTGATGATACCCATTGCAACGGTCCTAAAGACATTCTGGTCACTCTCAGCGAAATCATTCTCTATTGTAGTAGAGGTCGGCCTCGACATCTTCTACCCGTCTGTAATTCACCATAAAGAATGTCCTTAGGAATTCTACAATCCTCCATTCTCTAGGTATGACCCAGCCACCTGAACCTTCGTAGACTGAGCATTGAGAAGACTGTTGTAATACCCGCTCTTTCCAGTGCCTCAGTGTTTGTGTTCTTGTCCTGCCACATAATGCCAAGGCATCACATGTAAAACCTATTAGGCTTTCTATCCTGGTGCAAATTAGTTGACCAGGTTTCGCTGCTATAAAGCAGAGGGCTGAGAACACAAGCCTGATAAATAAGTGTTTTTGTTTTAATCATGAGCTTTCTGTTCTCCTAAACTATTTTGTTAATCTGCTCATTGTTGTTGCTGCCTTACTTATGCTGATGTTGATTTCTTGGTCCAGCGATAGTTTATCCCAGATCGTGGATCCCATATAGGTCAAATGGTCAACTGTCTCCAGCTCTACACCATCAATGTAGACTGCATGTCTATCATTAACGCCTTGCACCATAACCATTGTCTTCATTTTGCTGACTGTTCATCCAAATTCACAGCATGCATCAGCAAAGGCAGATAGTAAATATTGCAGCTCCCCTCCTGAGTGGGTGGTTATTGCTGAATCATCTGCAAACAGCAGCTCTCTGATAAGTACCTTTTTTATCCTGGTTTTGGCAGCCAACAGATCCTACTGATCTCAAAAGGCATGTTTCAAAAGAAGTGAGAAGTATATCCCAAAGACGGTATTATTAGCAAGTACACTTCCCTGATTCACTCCATTTTTTTTATTACAAACTCCTCCAATGGTACACCATCAAAGTTGATTGTACCTTACATAGCTGTGTGTAATGACTCAATAATACTCAGTAGAGTAGATTGACACCCAATCGTCTTCACTGTGAGGAACAGACCTTTTCGACTGACCAAATCAAATGTCTTGGTAAGATCAATAAAAGCCACACTGTGACTGGATAAACCTGGTCTTCTATGATCTGGAGTCTTCGAGGTACAATTCTTGCAAGTTCTTTTTTTCCAACAGTACACAGCAGTGATATTCCCGGTAATTATTGAAGTCACTCCGATCACCCTTCTTCCTGTACACAGTTATGACGCTTGAGTATCTGAAGTTTGCAGAACCTGTCCTTTTCGCCAGCAGAGTGTTATTGGCTGACGAATGTGTGGGCAGAACGTCTTTACCACTCCTGATTGTCACAATAGGAATACCATCTTGTTTGGGGCTTTTACTGAAGCCTGTTCAACAATAGCATTCCTAATTTCTACAGTTGGAAATGTATCCATATAGTCATGAGTTGGTAGCTTGAGACGGGCGGTAGTTGATCAGTGACTGTCGAAGATGTCTCCCACATCAAAGGCAACCCTTGGAGCCCTCCTTTGTGTTAATTGACAAGGACTTAAAACCAGTAACTACTGCCTCTCGATTTGTTTCCGAGACCAAATACGGCCAGGAATGGCTCGTCCTATCCAAAGCACAAAGCTTGGGCAGTATTGTAGAGACCATACGTTGCCCATGCATCACGATCCCTCGCTCGTCCTGCCTTGTTTACTCCAAAGGAAAGGTAACACCAGTACGATTGGAACAAAACAGACTGCAGAAGCTGACAGATCAGAAGAGCAGTGCTCTATCTGTCCACCTGTCGGAGCTTTTCTCTTAAACCAGCTGTCAGCCAATGCTAAGGGCTGGTCTGTCCTGCCATAACATAAAGTTTTCAGGTTACATTTCCTCTTACTAGGATAAGGCTAGTATCCTTTACAATGTGTTCCTCCGCCAGAAGTTGTTGGCACAATATGGGGTGTCAGGTTTGGTTTACGCCGCCCAACATTCAAAGTAGCAGAAGACAGGTGGTAACGGCTACTGTTATATGGTGGCTTATATCTGACGATGACCTTACATTGTTTGCTTATAATGTCAGTATAATTAAAGCACAATCTAGTCTTCGTAATTATCATTTAGATGTCACTGATATTGTATATCACATGAAATAGGAAGTGAGACTAAAAGGACATAATGTTACGCAAGCCTTCCTGCCTAATTCTTGAGCCTATTAAAAGTAAATGTTGTCATTAATTCGTTCTTCTCTAGGCATAAAAATGTGTAAGTATTTGATACCCACCATATCTTTATAACCATGTACTTTACATATTATCGTGTAAATAAATGTAAAACAACAATTTATTTGCAGATCTTTATAGCATCCTTGGGTTATGCCTGCGAGGGTACATGTTACAGAAGACCTGCGGACAAAGACATCTGTCAAAGGCAAGTTATAGTTTAATGTTTCATTAGGAATCGACATCACATCACTCGGCAAATTCCTATAATCCCTCCCTCCACATCTTCATCATCAAGCGCAGAGTTCCATTTCCATTAGTACCAATAGCAGTCTGACTGTATATTACTTTTTGTTCTGCTTTTAATTGTTATTATCTCGCATAGTGCTTTTATTTTGCACTGCTCGTTTGCCCTTTACGCTTTCTGGAAATGTCTAGCCAACTTGAAAATTGGCTCAGTAGAGCTGGTCTTAGATTAGGTCATCTTAATATATGTCATCTAATGGGCAAACTGCCCGAATTATCCCTCATCCTTAGTCAACATTTTCAGATATTCAGTCTTACTGAAAGTCGATTAAATGATTACATCTCAGATGATGATGTATCGATAAATGGTTATAGTGTTATTAGAAGAGATCCACATAAGAAACAAGAGACAGGTATAGCGGTCTACTTATGTAGTTCACTTAATATATTCCGCAGACTAGACTTAGAAAGTAGTGAGATAGAATGTGTTTGGCTTGAGTTAAAACTACAAAATCACCAACCACTACTAGTTGGTTATCTTTATCGCAACCCCAGCGCTGGAAACATTTGGTATGAAAATTTCACTGCCATGATGGATGCAGTCATTACTATTGATAAAGAAATCATACTTCTTGGTGACTTCAATATCGATACTCAAAAGTCTAACAATACATGGGAGAATATAGTTACTTCATACAATCTCCAACAACTAGTTAAACAACCTACTAGAGTAACTAAATCATCTTCAACACTTATAGATCACATTTATACAACACGTCCTGAAAATATAGTAGAATGCAAGGTTCCCACTACTGCAACGTCCGATCATTTACCTGTCTGTTGTACGTGGTCGAAAAAGGGAACTAAAATTCCAAAACACAAACATTTAAGCATAAAATTTAGAAGCTATAAAAATTTCAGTCAAGAGGCATTTTTACTAGATTTGCTAAGTTCACCTCTTGACCATGTTTATCAACTTCCTGATCCGGATGATGCTCTGGAATATTGGCTAAAGACTTTCCTTGGGGTTTTTGATAAACATGTGCCAGTTAAGGAGGTCCGTGTGAAACATCAGACTAAATCACCATGGATCACACAGGAAGTAGTCGACATTTTGAGAGAACGAGATAGGGCACACAAAGATAAGAACTTTGTCACATATCGGAGTTTGCGTAACAAAGTACAGTATGTTATTCGAAAGGAAAAAACTATTTCAGAAACTTAGTATCAGATAAAAGAAACAGTAAGGATATATGGAAGGCAATCAACACACTGACAAACAAAAACACTTCAACACGTGTGGTAACATCTACTATAACATCTGATGATTTCAGCAATTACTTTCAGGATGACATAGAGCAGATAAAGGCTACAATACCGAGCTATCCATGTGATTTATCCATGCTGTCAACATTTTGTGAGAATAAATGCTCCAGAGATTTTCCCACTGACATGCCTTTGATGTCAGTCAATGACGTTTTTAAATATCTCGCTAATCTCA